CAGAAAAAAAAACGGCATTTGTTAATTAAGTTCAAATTTCACCTTAGGAGGACTGCCAGGTAATTTCTTCTCATTTGCCATTACTTTGTTTCACCTAAAATGTGGCCTTTGCGAAATTATGTGCCCGACCAACGCTAATTATTATTACATAAAATTTAGTCAGGGGTCCGGCTAACGCCAATTATTTGTAATTGGGATTAAGTTTGGAATATGCAAGCAGCTAACGTAAATTACATTACATTACATTTAGCTGAGAGGATTAATTATTCCTTTTTGCTTCTCTCTTTTGTATTTTATTATATATTTCAATTTTATCATTCCACGAACCGAAATTGGACATTGTTAAAGAAATTTCTGCTGGTTGGCGTGGTTGCAAATCTTACTCCAGTTTTTAGCGTATTTTCCTCAAGTGAAAAATCGCTATCGGCTGCACTTTGACGTTCGTCCGTTCGTCTGTCCGTCACACGTAGGTACTCCTTCTAAACCACTGAACCGATTTTGGCGATATAGGACTCATTTGAAAGGGTTTTGGTCCAAGGATTCCGTGCATACCCATATTTTTGGTTTTCCGCATGCGCAGTGTCAAAAATTTGGTTTAACGCATGTGCGATGCTAACTTTTTTATTTATGAAGATATTTAAATGAAATTTTATACATATGCACTTGGAATACAAGCAAATCTAACACCAGTTTTAAAATTTTGTTTTGCGCATGCGCAATGGCAACTTTTTTATTTATGAAAGCAGTTAAACGAAATATATGTAGGCACCTTGAATGAAACTAAAACTAATACCGGTTTCAAAATTACTGTTAACGCATGCTGTTTTATTTATGAAGGTATTCAATGAAATTTCTAATGTAGACCATGCGCAATGCTATTTACGACAGCATTTATAAAAAGTTCCATATGTAGACACTTCGAATAAAAGTAAAACTACTCGTAATGCCCATTTCAAAATTTGTTTGTATTTGTATACGCTCCACTATTTTTCATTAAACTGTATAGACTTCGACGATAGGCGACTCATTTGAAAGAGAATGGAGTAAGGATCTCATGCCTACCGGTATTTTTTCCTGGTCCTAGCATTAACATTATTAGGCATGCGTTAATAACATAAACTGGCATACAATAGATGGAGAACCGGAGAATTTCAGCGAAATAGTTGAGGGCTTGAAGGTGTCGACCATGGTCGGCGAGGGATTGGGGGGAGGATTTCTAGAAACTCGAGTCGAATCATACTAATTTTTTGTTTGTGTTAGAGGCCAAAAACACACCCCATTTATATTCACTATCATTTCATCCAAACGACAATTTTAGATTCATATTCAGTAGCGAATTTACATATAGGCACACTAGGCACGTGCCTATATTTATTTTAGGTAACATTTTAAGTTTTAAAATAAGTCCCCTAAGAAGTCACAAATGACAAAAATCTTTAATTAAAATTATGAAATAAATTGGAATTGGTAGATAGTTTAAACAAACTGCAACTGTAAGAATGATAATCGACAATGCAAGTTTTGACGTGTGTGAAAACCAGGGTGAAAACTTAATCTTAGGTATACTGTATTTCTTTTCATATTAGTTTTAAAAATTTCATCTTATAATTTGATTTTTATTTTAAAATTTATTGCCATTTAAAGATTATTTTGGGGCGCATATCTTTCGGTGTGCCTAGGGGCGCAAAAAATTTAAATCCGCCACTGTTCATATTAAGTGCTTCACATTCTCCAACAAGTTGTATCGTGCAACCTCCGTTTCATCGTGGCACTTTTGTATGGAAATTTAATGAGACGATTTATATTTCTGGATATTCATCCCTTTTGAGTAGATTAAATATTTTCGAATCCAATTTCGCTAATGCTCACTGTTAAATCTATCAACTTACATAACGATACTTATATATTCCAATATTGGAACGTTAAGATATAGCCTCATTAAAATAGCCCTCTCATTATTATGTAATGGAGATGTGCGTGTCAAGATACATATTCATAATATAATTTACCTAACAATGTGCTTTAATAATATCTAACTCAATATTTAATATTAATACATGTTTTCTGTAACCTACATTCCATCATGAAGTTCATTTTATTCTTAGAGCGCTAAATATTTACTTACTTTTTCTACAACCACGTTTCTCACGTTGGGGTATCCGGAAAATCGCTCTTCATTCGTCTAAAAAATTAAAATATCCACTTAAGAGTTCAGTAGTTAAAAAAAGGAGAAATAGTAACAGGAGCGTTATACTCAGCTCATTAATCTATGCACCCTTATTGAAATAAACAAGAACCGACAAAAATCGTACATTCTCTTTATTGAATATTTAATCGCAAAATTATTTTTTATTTCACTACTTTGTCATTTCATCATTAGTTCCCTCTAATTACATACCTATAAGTATAACATTTAATCATGTAGATGAGAAAATAATGAAATGCCGATTGTTGTTTTGATGTTACGGAGTTGGAAACCTCTACTTTGTGCTATTTCTTATGGAGAACGTATCATACTGATACATATCGGTTGGTTGTTTCAAGTATTTTTGTTTAGAAAGGAATTTATTACCAATGTTATTACCATCGTTTACGGCTGCAGTTGATGTTACAAAAATTGAAGCTGTTGTTGCCTTGCCAGCACGTTGTGCATGTGCTGCTTTCTGTGATATAATATGCATGGTGTTCTGTTACAGTTATTCGGGTATAACGAGTAATTATAACCCGCATACTGTTGCGAACCTTCTAGAACGTTATCGAGGCGTCATATAGTCGATGAAGGATTACTCGGCGGCGATAAGCGGATGTACCTAACTCATTTTTTGTTATTAATATGATATGCCGACAATCGATAACTTTCTAGAAGTTTCAGTTCGGTGTAGTGAAAGAATTACCTACTGCCAAGACGTGTTTGCTTCAGAAAACCGACTTGTGGATCGAAGCAATATGCAGAGCTAAACGCGAAGAAGCCAAGAAGATCATCGGCGGAATGGCTCCTCAAGGGACCATCTAGCTTGGATTTCGTCTGCGGCACTAGTCGAAAGGTGGTAGCACGACGTTTTGCGTGGATTGTATGCAACTGAACAACGTAACAGAAAAGGATAATTATACCTTTCCTAGCTCGAATCGATTACACGGTAGATACATTTACTTACCGGTGCTAAGTGGATTTCCACTTTAGATATGAAAAGCGGCAAGTTGATTTAGATCTTAAATCTCGCGAGAAGACAGCCTTTAGCATAGTGCCGCGGTCATGCCCTTTGGTCTGCGCAACGCCCCGGCAACGTTTTCGAGGACAATGGAACTGGTATTGGGAGGTGTCTGTCGTAAAAGACATGCCCGGTTCGAAGAACACTTCAAAAATTTTGACGACGTTGATCAACCTCTTAGAGAAAGACAGGGATTGTAAATTCGGTGCTTCCCTTTCACATTGAAAATTTTTAAAATCGAGATATACAAAAAAGTTCTCAACTATGGTATAGTGCGACCAGCTTCTGTCAAGGAATTCATCTTGGTGTCCTTCATCTGTGTAGTAACATTCATTTTTCGAACAATTCAAGGCAAATTTGGTCTTACCGTGCGAGCAAATTGTTTCGATCCTCCTCCCGTATCTCAAAGCTGCTACTTTAGCACTGCCTCTAATCTCCGACTCCGATACAGTCTCCTTCCCTTGTTCACTCACTTTGGGCAGGTACCTAGCCGTGTGTGTCAAGGCAAAACGAGGTAGTCGGAATCGCGTCGTTTTAAATGGAGGTTGTAAAGTCCTTTTTTAAGATTCTTAAATATACCCTTTACGCCATCGTCGTGTAAGCTCACTGTAGTAGTTGGTAGAGTTTTTATTTCATAGTTCTTTGTTTTCCCGCTAGAAGTCGTGCAGATGTAGTTTCTGTTAAAGTCACTAAATATAGAAAGTACCGCAATCCATTGGGCTCGTGTGTTAGAGAGAGAACGCATGATTTTTGCACAAAGATGGCGGAAGTTACCAGATTCTAGTAACTTTAATGTTAGGAATTGTTCCACCTGTTTGGAGATATCTGTATATATTTGTATAAAACATGACAGTACTATGAAGTTAGGTTATAAAAAATTACAGCTATTCAGATTTTATTTGTCAATTTTTCTAAGTTGGCAGCAAATTTGCCCAAAAATGGCGGATGATTGCGGTACTTTCTATATCTAGTGACTTTAGTTTCTGTTACAGTGACTTAATTTAGAACAGTGGTGACAACTCTCGTTTTTGATTGGTCGTTGGTTCCGGTCGCCATATTGGGGCTAAATTGCTATGGTTTGGTATAGGCGTTTACATTTTTTTTTTTATGTTTTTGCGAAATTCTGCGAATAAAGGTATTGCTTAAGGTAAAATGCTTATTGTGGACATTCGTTTCTATATAAAGATATAGTTTGGCGTGTTTAAAGTCAATAGAAATTAATTACAAAAAGTTGGTTGTGCTGCTCAATTGTTAGCCCCAATATGGCAGATGGGCAGGGATTATAATAAGATGTCGCCACTGTTCTAATACAGTCACTGTAGTTTGTGTTACAGTGACTTTATAGAGACAATGGCGACAATAGAGTCTCTAAATTTCTGATTGGTTCTTGAGATTGGCGGCCATTTTGCATCGAGTTTCGCAGTTTACCTACTATTTAAGCTGTGTTTCTACTACATGTGTGTTCAGTAGTGCATTTACTCGACGAGACGACGAATAATTGAAATCTGGGTCGAAATACTGAAAATGAGATTGAGATTAAGGTGTTGTTGGACTATGTGGTGCTTAGACAAACTAGGGGTCAGTTAGAGCTCTTGCACACGAACGATCAATCGCCGACCGGCAAAAAAATCGAAAGATCGGCCACCGATCAAAATAAAACTTCGACGGCACCGCCGTGTACGTCATCTTGAGGTAGGAAGTTTTAGAAAATTTTTAGAAAATCGGAACGAGCAAACCCCAAAACCTAAAAAAGGCCTATGTGTTATGGTTGCTGTGAACAATTAAAAATAAACTCAAACTTGGGGACATTTGAGGACCTGCCTCCCAAACGAAACTCTTTTAATCCCCTCTAGCTATCTTAAATTTTTTTAAACATAATTGTTAAGCCCTGTATTACTGACTGGACATGTACGATATTGAATGCTTTCAGGATATTAATTTTAGTACCCTTCTGGCCTGACCAGTATAACGAAAATTGGCCAAAACGTACACACAGATACACAATGCTTCTCCTTGCATCAATGAGAAATTATAACGCTCCCGTTCCATAATCATATAGGATATATTGTATCGCTCAATACAAAATAATACTGACCTCCTCTTCTTCCAATGTGACTGGAAATTGAGTTAGAGGACGGACGGCAATATCGTTAATGGCAGCTTTGCGTCTAAAACAAAAGAAATATACCTACCTAAGCAAACGTTTCTGGTTGGAAATGGGAAGTTTACTACAATACAATCAAATCAATTGACAAAGACGTTTATTTTGCTCGAAATTGTTTCTCGTCCAAATGCTTGCTGTCAATCATCCTCGAATACGTTGCATAAAGAGATTCTTTTAAGTGAATACATAAGTATCATTTAAAGCGGACCACATCGACACATTACAAAAATTAGACTAATCAAATAGCATTTATTCACACATTCACATTGAATTTGTTGTGGGTAGAATCGAGGGTAGAATTAATTTAAGTAGTGTTAGGGAAAGTGGGAGTTTAATTTTAGATTTAAGGTGCTTGTAATTGCTTTTGAGCTTTGTTACGTGTGTTTACGAACCCAGTAAATTTAGAGTGTTGTGCAATTTGGGGAAGTCGATTGTGTGATTCAAAAATAGTTAATTTATTGATGAAATTAGCTTGCGCAACTACAGATTTTACCTCAATTACTGTTGAGCAGTACCTATACATACATTAGTTTAAGTGAGTAAAATGAAATATATCTCAGAACAAAGTACAAAAAATATAAAATAAAAATAGTTAGTAATTAATAGTTAGTAACTACTAGTTACAGATGACACAACAAAGAACTAATAACGTAAATGAAATATGAATAAGATATCTAACGATCACGGCTAACAATATTTGAAATTTAAACAAAAAAGTATTCTGTATCTATACTCATCTGATTGAGAAAATTAACGAGTGATATGATTTGAGCAACGGAATCACGAAACACATTTATTAGTTACAAATTGTTATACGATTCTCTACAGTACGTGCAGATACCATTTCTTTTTACATTCCTGAAGGCAATCTCCAAATACATCCAATTGTGGTGCTAATTTATTATGGTATGTGCGCAACATATACCTATACCTATTAATTAATGGTGAATGTTTGAGGGCATTTGTACGAGCGTATGGGATATGAAATAATGATCTCGAACGACTGGAGTACGAATGGGCGATAAACCGAATTTGACTGACTAATCCACTATCATCTGTGAAACTTCGAATAAGCTTATAAAGGAAAGTCAGTTGTAATATTTTCTTTCTGGTAATCAAACTTTTTAAATCAAACTTTGCCTTGACGTTAGATACGTTAACAGCGTATGATATTATTTTAAAAAATAAATACCGTTCGTGAAAATAAATGCAATTTTGTTTGTAGATCTAATTTTTGAAGTCATTTTCAGTCACGAATAGTGGAGTGGCAGCCTTTTTGTGTGAACCACTTTTTATCGCTCGGTATGCACTATCTATATGTTTTGGACGGGAGTAAAATCATCTAATGCGCAATCCCATAGAATATTTCAATAGTTAATGTAAAGTTCCTTTTGTGTATTAAAAAAAGTCAAGAATATAAATAATTACCTTAATATGACTATTTTAAATACCGGTCCAGCTAGGCCTTTAATAATTGCTGATGCGTTCAGATGACATCGACCATGCAGTACAATACCATTCACCTGAAAATGAAATAAACGTTTGCATGTAATTATGGTAAATTAATTAGTAAATTGGAAATTATTGCGTGGTAACCAACTGGGAAAATAGGTAATAACAAACGATCTTGTTGAAAACTCATTGCAATCTATATGTTGGTATTGAGGATTAAATAGTGTTATATTTATACTTTTTTTTAAAATTCGAAATATTGTCAACTAAGGCTCTCTGCTTATTTTACCCACCAAAACCGACGGTTATTTCCCCGCCGAACAATTTTCGTCCTGGTAACAATCCTATGCAGTATGTATTTTCCGCTGTGTAAGAGTGTAGAATTTTAAGATTTTGTATATTACCATACGAGTTACCATAGGTATTGTTAGTTAGGTTGTAATGATGTGAATTGATAACATTAATTGTTTTAGAATTTCTGTAGGAATTTTTCAATTAATGGAAATGAGTTATTGTTCGCCTTGAAGTTACTTGTATCAAGGAACATCCGGTATATGAACTGGCGCTTTATTACGAATTACCCTTGGTATGGGGAAAATGACATCGATCTAATATTTTAAGATTTCAGATTCATTAGGAAATTAACAATCGGTTTTAGATTCCATGTGTTCCATAAAGCCAGGGTGGAACAGCTGTTTTGACGGCTGGAAGGTGGTACAGCGAGGGTAACCAGCGTGCTATCTTGAATTCTTGACCTCACCGGTTGCACTTAAATTCCAATAAAAAAGGTGTTAATTGGATTAACGAATATTGGTGTTGGGATGCGCTCAATGACGTAAGCATAATTAACGATTGACATTTAAATGAGTTGCAGACTCGTCCGATTGAGTCTTAGCTCAAAAGAAGCGCTCTTAATTCACTTGAATTTTGACACCGATCCCGTATTTTTAAGACGTCTGGGAAAGACGTAATTAATTAAAAACAGTTTCAATTTGTTTGAACGTATCGGAGGTATAAGCGTACGGGATGGGAATTCCAGTTTGTCCCTACTCAAATGGACGTTTATAGTTATTTACATATGAGTATGGTAAATCAAGGTTTACGAGTGAGATGTTTACTGCCGAAGCGTAGCTGAGGCAGGAATTTCGAAACGAGTAACGTAAATTGATTTGACATACAAATAATGTAAAACATTTTATTTCATACTGCTCTATTTCTATTAAAATACCATTTTGATTAGAATGTTGTAGGTGCACATTAAAATAAAAGCAAAAGTCGATCACTTGATTTGTTTGATGACAGTAGTTTGACAAATATCAATGCATACGTTTAGATGGATGTCAGTTGCGGTTGCTAGGCAAAATTTTCCGTCTGGTAAAAATTTTCAGTCTGGTAAAATACGATTTACCAGACTCAAATCAGTCTGGGAAAGTGGCGATTACTAGATAGTATGAAATAAAATAAATTACAAACGCACTATAAAATAGGATCTTTTTCCGCTTTGCATCTTTTGCCGTTTGTATCCGACAGTTACGTTGTGTAAGTACAGAAATTTTGAGCTCTCCCTTAAATTTACTTTTGCAACCGTATTTAAATAATCGATCTTTTGGTTTTTTGCACCTTCACCAGTTGCATTTTTTGCATCCGTGCCGTTTCATTTTGTTTTCCAATTAAGTTACCACTCCGTAATTATTGAAATTGGCTTTTAACCAATTTCTGCAGCACCGATCCGATTGACAGGTAACCTTTTTGCTATTTTCCGTTTCATTAATTATAGCGGACGGAGGATATTGACTCGGTTTCTGTAATTGCTTTCCTTTAGTAATAGCCTAATAGCTACCGAATCCGCATATTTACTATTACCGCTTAGGAAAATTGCTGTGAGCTTCCCGTTTAGAATTCCTGGAACCGCCATTTTCTAGTCGAGGTACCTGGAGCACTCGACACTTTCCAAATTTTCCGCCGACTCGCCACCGTCACCATCTACATGTTTTGTATTGTAAATTACTGCTGGATTTTCGTTTTTAGCGCATTTCCACAAAAATAAAAAAAATGCGCTATTGTGGCCACTTTGTTCGTCCGTCTGTCCGTCCGTCTAGCTAGACGGTACTAGTTCTTTATTTTAAGAACAATACTCTTTTCTCTACTTTTTTCTCTATTTGGTTCGTTATGGTGTCGAGGCTTGCACCAAGGAAGGAATTTTTCTGGGTTTTTTTGTTAACAAAAGTTGGTCACGCCACACATGATTGGTTTTACATTCAACAATAACAAGATCGCATACCGTGAAGATTATACAAGTATTTAAGAAGTAAGTGACAATGTGTTTTATTTTTGTTTGTGGTGTTTGATGAAAATTTAATTTGTTATGGGTAGATTTAATTTTGGGTATTGTTGGAAAAGGTTGGGCTTTTGTTTTAGATGCTTGTAATTGTTTAGTCACCTGCGTTTATGAACCCAGTAAATTTTGAGTCTCTTGTTAATTTAGGCAAGCCAAGCGGCTATTTGTAAAATAACAATTTTTTAAAAATTAGCCAGCAACTAGCGCGAGAAACCTTGCTAGAGTATTCTCGCCTTTAGGTAGTGCTCATGAAGCGCTTCGTCTGGTGAACGCACCCAATGACCATCGAAATTTTTGAGGTGGGCAAATAACCGTGAACCAGATATACTGATATAACTGAATCGGTTAAACAAAATAATTTGTATTTATAATAATAATAATCTTTATTGTTGTTAAGACAAAAAACATTTTTTTGTTTACAAGCGTCAGTTTAGAAAAGGATAAAAAACAAGGGACAAATACATTTAATGACTATCTGTAGGACTCTTACATAACCAACAAACTTAAAGAAGTGATATATTTGGTTCGCCAATTATGCCCAGTAAAGACGTTGTATACGGTAATGTACGTTAATGGTGCAACAGAGTTTATATTGAACAAAGTGAACTTCCTTGTAGTTGACGTCTTATCAAAGTGAATTAACAGTTGAATTCAATTCCCTTGCAAATTAATTGTAGCCCTCTTGTAAGGCCTAGGTACATAAAACGATGAAATCTAAAGCTTTATGTATAAAAATAAATTTAAAGGTTTGAGGGCGTTCAAATCCTTAAGGGCAATATCCCTTACACAGTTCTGTGGTTGTTTGGACATTCTCTGCAAGTTACACGGTTTACTTACCTCCAAAATTTCATCGCCAACTTCAATTCCTCCCATTTTATAAGCTTCGCCATTTGGATTTAAACCGCAAACAAACACCGCCATACAGTTACGATCCTTGTGTCCCGCAAGACTTAAACCTAAGCCCTTTTGACCTCGTTCTAACTGTACCATCATTACGGTTTTTCCAAATTTGGCGTACTTTTTTTGTATTTCATCTGAAACAATTCATAAATTAAAATCTTTTTGTAAACATTCATAGACATTGAGGGGTACGCGTCACTTCTCTTGTAATATGGAAATACATTACAATTATACTAATTAACATAAAGACCTATAAAATCAGAATCACAAATGAAGATATCTGCGTCATTAAAAACCTAGTACCTAGTGATTTTATTCTAATGTAAATGAGAATAAGAATAAAGGTAAAAATAACATGTTTAGAATCGATTCACAAACTAATGGCGCAAATATTCGTCAATGGTGATCGTGATTTAGGGTAGGTAGGTACCTACCTACGTTTGTGTAACTGAAAGTAGAGCTTCTCAAACGCTAAAAATCAAGATTAGTTTAATCACATGTAGCGCTTTTTGACTTCGTGGTTATGGTAACCAATGTGGCTGCAAAATCCGCCTTGTCAAAGAAAAAATGTTTCAAAACCCATTCGTGGGACACAACTTGTATATGGGGAGTAACGGGCAAATATACAGACCATAACACTGCAACTGCAATTTCTATCTTACGTGCTATAGGTCTTTCTCCTAATGCTACCTCATTACTTCATAGCTACCTACCTAACGGGCAGGTCACAGTGCGTTACTTTAATGGGTAAGTCATCTGTGTAGTACAGGGAACTACCTGGGGGTGTACCGCAAGGGTCTATTCTTGGCCCCTTATTGTGCACCATATATACCTTATTTTATACATGAGTTCCTAAGACGTGTCTATAGTTCACATGTATGCTGACGACATGCAGTTGTACCACTCCTTTAAAAGTGAACATTTACACGAAGTGCTAAATCTCATTACAGTCTTACGCTTAAACGCACGTGTAGTTTAAATACATACTGAAGTCGTCAACCACGGCTAGAGTCAAAGAGAACTTCCTCATATTTCTTAAATGCGAAATTATTGTCAATGATAAATCAAATAAGCGTCTTGTCTGCTTAGAATACATCCCAAAACGGCTGCGATAAGATATGTAGCCATTTATTTATCTAGAAACTTTCCAATTGTATTAGCTAGGAGCCTTCTCTCAATCCAATTTAAATATAGCCGTCTCCTTGTCGAAAGTTTATAAACACGAAAAAAATGCGTCACGTATACTGATTCCGACTTGTTAAATTACATAATTTTGTACAAGGGTTTAATACGGCCCTACTCCAATTTAGAGCTTCACATTATTTTTCCACGGTTTATTAAATTTGCGCTGGAAATTTTTTGGTACTCTCGAATATTGGTGACTGCCGGCTATCTGTCGCCGCGTTTTCCCTAGCCTTCCGTATGTCAGAGTGCCCTCAAAAGGGATCCGGTAACGGAGTAGACTCCTTGAAAGAGGAGAAGGTTCTAACCCAGGGCCTTATTCAAGGACCTGGTGGTAGGCCAGCTCCTATTCAAAAAGAATAGCACTGGCGCATTGAAGGCGATGGACCGGAAGCACCGGCTCGAGTATAAAACCTCGGGTCAAGCGGGCCCTGCGCCCCAGATCGCTTTCTTGAAGCGCCTCCAGAGACAAAATTCTGGTTGCAGGTCGAGTCTATGTAGAACGTTTATCCGTAGGGAGAAGCCTGGTAAGGTCCTCCTCGCATTTGATGTCGATGAGGCATCCCATCGGCCATCGGGCACTCCAGCGGCAGAACTTTCAGGTGCACGCACACGGCTGCGCCCGCTAAGGGAAAGAGCTCCACCGGAGCAGCAGGCCTCAGTGTCCTTGAGACGGAGGGAGCTCAATCCCTCGTTATCGACCTCGAAGAGGCGTTCGGATTACCACCGGCGCCCTCAGACATTGAGAAAGATGAAAGCTTTTGGCTCGTATGGCGGTTCTTGGTTCCGACCAGGGGTAGGAACCGTCGGCACCACTGGGAGAGGGGAAGGGGGGCCTAGTACATCAGTGATGGACAAAGTAACCTTCTTACAGAGCAATTTCTGGAGTATTTGCAAACAACTGATTTCAATGTTTTAAATCAGGGAGCAGCCCCTACCTCAGTTACAGCACGGGGGCAGGAGGTTATTGATATGACGTTGGGCTCCAATTTAATAGCTCACATGATCACGAATTGGAGAGTCGCTTCGGATCACCGGTACAACTAATCCTGGCATTCCACTACGGGCCATGTCGGTTTCGGAATCCCCGATCCACTGATTGGAATTGCTATATGTGCCGAAACTGTCAGAGCGGTTGGATGAACCACCTTTGCTCTGTCAGGAAGCAGGGCAGATGAAAGAAAATCAGAATCAAAAGATCATGGAGGACCTTCTGTGGTAACATGGAGGGTCTTCCGCAAGTTCAAAGACTTCGTAAGATCCTTTTGAAAAGCCCAGGGCAGAAAGTGGAGACCCTGAGGCTTTCATGCGGCAGATATGCCTCTACCGCGGGCGAGGCTCTCACATGTCTCCTGGACTTTCCAGGCTCTGGGGACTACGTAATTTCGAACCCACTAAAAGAACCTACAAGGTTCGGTGTACGGCCGATCGACGGGAAAGTAATGTAAATGAACCTAGCAGAGCAAGTTCAGCAGAACACAATCAAAGATATTGCATAATTAGGTGCTGATTAGGTGCTAATTAAGTGGCTTGTTTTCAAATTCTGTGCTCTTCCTTTTTTTATTTTTACTTCTGCTATTTACATGATTTAAGCAGACAGACACTGTGTTTACAAAAACAAATACGTCTTTAAGTGTTCGTGATTTGGTGTATTAAAAGGTGCTAATTTATTGCTTTTAACGCAAAAAGTTACCGAGAGATCTCTGAAAGGGCGGTCAGGGGTCAGCCCATTCAAGAGTGCTGGACCGAACGGCATACTCCAAGCTCTGGTACTTTAGAGTATATCCCCGAAAGCCGGAGAAAGGTTAAGAGTTGTGTACCTACGTAAGCCGGGTCGTGCCAAAATGACATGGCGAAGATTTACAGGTCCATCAGCCTATTATCGTTTTTTTCTAAAAGCGGCGGAGAAACTGGTGGATGCATAGATAAGGGAGCAATGAAAACCACATCAACTTTGGCCATGGAGGCACTTTTGGGGTCGCTTTTGGGACTAGTCTTTAACACTTAGCTGTGGAGGCAGAGGCCCAGAAGGCTTCCATACAGCTAAACGATTGGGACGAGTGAAAAAATCGTGGTAGCCTTGGGAACGGGCGGATCTGGGAGGAAATCCTCAGATCCCATCCCCTCCTCGCAAGAAGGGATGTGATCCGGGATGTCTTACTAAGACCAAAGAGTTATGGAATCACTCTCCTGAACAGGGAGCAGTGGCTGAACTCGGAATACTCGTTTTTCAAACCTGAGGGACTCGTGTTGTTTACAGACGGGTCCCTAACAGAAAGGGGAACGGGCATGGGTATATATGGTGAACGATCGAGACCTGACGCCAGCTTCTCCGTTAGTCAGCAGCAGTTTCCAGCGAATAAATCATAGTTAAGCTGCCGTTTCAATAAATAAGATTCCCTGGTTTACGCTTATTACTCTTATTGTAATAGCGGAAAACTGGTTTGTCTGCCGTCGAGATAAATTGAAAGTTCATTGCCTGATCATTTCTATACAACGAAAGGAGATCCAATTTTTCGTTTCTATATTGTCCAGCTTTAGGAACGCCATCGATTTTAGAAATCGCTATAATTAAGGTGAAGTGAAATTTTTGTTGGATTTGTATAAAAAATTAAAATCGAATCTCTTTAAGAAATTGCATTGAATTTTTATTGAATGTTGTCAGAAAATAGGAATCGATCTTGGTAAATTGGCTAAAAGGCGTAAACTTGTATCACATTTAATAACTATTTTCATTCTTTTTGAATTCTTTTTCAATTTTCATTTAAGAGTTCAATTTTACGAGCTATTAAAAAGTTTGCCTTAGAAAAAGTTTTTCGTGGCAGTAGGAAATCAATTTTTGATCATACGAACAAGGCTGTTCAACTCCTGTATTGTAAGAAGCTATTACAAATACGATTGTCTTTTGTTTATTGTGTATTATTGGGGGTTTACGATAATTCAACTGGTTTAACATGGTTGATAGATTTTGCTGGTTACAATTACTGGGACAATTGTTTCTATGGCGATTTCTACCAACCCGGTTAGAGCGGCTGAATTATCGTAAATCCCCATTGTTTCTTATCCTCCACCTCGCTAAAGATTTCCACATCAAAGAAACCTAACTGTAGTCAAAGAGTATTATTAGTTACTCTTTGCTGTAGTGTACCACGATTTCTCTGGCATCTCAGTATCGTTCTTGTAACGGGATGTTATTGCAAAAAATTGTAAAACTGGAGACCATAACCCCTTCTTGTTTCTTTGCAAGGCTCCTTATTTTCAGGAAAGTTCGAAACAAGGAGAAACCGATCCGTATGTTTCAGGCAGTAACCACTTCTTCAGTTAATTTATTCTACTGTGCTGATGGAAGTTCTAGTGCTCAATAACAACGTACCAAAAACAAAACTGCTATCTGCGGATCTACAATCACTACATTGCAAAATGGGGGATAGATTTTTAACGTATGGTACCTACTGTAGCAAATGTTCTAAATACAAATCAAATAGACCTTTATATTTTTTAACGAAGATTCCGAAACTGCCAGAATTCACAGCCCAGTATTAATTACTCGAAGGGTGACTCTACATTGATTTTAGCATAAATCGGTAGTAATTAAAAATAAGTGTGAGTTTCCACTTCGATTCTTGAAGTAACATGACTCTATACATTTTAAATTAATTAACATGGAATAATATTTCCGATAACAAAAAAATCAATGCAAATTTAACGCAAGGGGCAAGACTATGGAGTTTGAAATCTATGTCATTTAACATGTTACTTTTTACCTCAAATTTAAGGATTCAATTAGCTCGCGTTTTTTTGCCACCGAAATCAAAAAAATGAATTCATTTAAAATTTAAAAACAATGAGATATCAAAATTGCAAAGCTACTGCTGTTGCAACATATCACACAGCTAATTATACACAGTTTTTGTTTATGGAAAAAGAATATCAACAATATCATTGTTCATAG